TTGAAACTGTTCCCCGCCTGTGCTGGGTTTATGCATTGTTAAAGGTGTCATAGGTTTGTTAAATGAAGGTTTGGCACTAACTGTAACTGTTCTCATTTGGCTGGTTCATTTGCTTTCCCGAAGCTGTCCTTGCTTGAGCTTGATACAAGCTTCAAACTCTCCTCGCTTCGATTTGTTTCAAGGTTTTACCTGATCTGTCTCCACTTTGGTTATGCTGTAGCGGTATTGACAATATCCACATTTTACTTTGGTTCTAGATATATTAAAACAGCTCTAATCGCTTCCTGGCTGTAGCTGGACTTGTGATCCTGTGGCCCTGGGTTCGATCCCAGGCGCTGGCGAGAAACAATGGGCAGAGTTTCTTTCACAATATGCCCCTGTTACCTAGCAGTAAAATAGGTACCTGGGTGTTAGTCAGCTGTCACGGGCTGCTTCCTAGGGGTGGAGGCCTGGTCGAGGACCGGGCCGCGGGGACACTAAAGCCCCGAAATCATCTCAAGATAACCTCAAGAAGATCCCTGCCAGCCTTGTTGTGAGTCTTACCTCAAGGGAACCATCCCAGCTGACTACTTCTCCTAGCGGTCCCGCTACGTCGATACTTGACAGGGTCCAAAATTAGGCTGACCAATTCTCGGACACATGGATGAACTATCACTTCCCTATCTCCTATGTGCTGCTGTAAACCTTCTCGAAATCACTACTCTTGCCTCTTCCCACTAGCCTATTCAGACAAAGAGTATTCCATACCTTGGGATAATTCCTCTGGTCCTATTTGACCAAAGAGCCTTTGGTCCAGACCAGATATCAGAGAGCCTATTCCCCTCCGGTTTGGTCTCTTCCTTTTGAGAAGTCTGGTAGGAATTATACACCAAACACAAAAATTAGATGAACGCATTTGCTAATACAATGCAAGCGTCTTCATTGTCTCTAGCAGTAACTTCAGCGCCTCCTCCTAAGGTTTCTAAACGTCAAGAAACTGTCGCAATAAAGTCCCCTGTCCTAACCTACCAGAGGACCCACAACAGAAAACGGGACAGCCAGTGTTGAGAAGACAGGGACGTTACGGAACACAGGAGACAGACGTGCTCGCGTAAGGCTGCTTCCTTGTACATCCAATAATTCTTACCGAGGTGTCTGTCTGTCAGTCCAATTAACACAACTCACCTGATATATGTTCTTCTCTGAGGCTCGTTTGGTGGTTGGTCCGCTGGTGGCCTGCGACTCTTGCTTAATGTGTGTTTACACATCTTTTTTTATATTTAGATTATAAATCTAAATTTGCTGTTTAAGGAGGGAGGGAGGGAATTATCAGGAGAAAGCAGAAAGCCATTACGACTATATAGCACTGGGAAGGGGTCAGGATAAGGATTTGGGATGGGACGGAGGGGAAAGGAATGGTGCCCAACTACTTGGACGGTCGGGGATTGAACGCCGACCTGCATGAAGCGAGACCGTCGTTCTACCGTCCAGCCCAAGTGGTTGGACTGCTGTTTAGGGAATGAATCTTGATTTGTTAGTTTTAATCCATAGTTTAGACCTTCTTTGTTATGGTTTTCGTCTGTTTGTATACATTAATACTGTACCATCCTCTGCCCACGTGACCTATCGTCATCACCACGTGGTCGCCAAACTAATTAATCTTTAGCTTGTTTAGCAAAATGAATTGTTAGCATCAGTTCGTGAACCCATTGTGGTAACCCTTTCCACCACCGTTCATGGATAGGTATCGGGTGCATAATAAATGGCTAAACTTACTAACCATGTGTTCAACAGCCAACATGTCAACCATTCATTTCTGTCTAAGACTCCTAACATAATTCTCATTTCCTTACTAGTAATCTCTCCCAATTAGCTCATCTAAAAAGTAGTATTTTTTAAACTAAGACTAGCTAATTCACTCCAAGTTTTAGACAGAATAGGCAACATCCCCTACATTGTATTTCGTCTTAACTATCGAGTACTCACTTTCAACTCCAGCTACCATCCAAACATCATTCTACTTAGCCACTCTCTACCTAACCCCCCCCCCCACTTCCCCACTACAATATCTATCCCTCACCTCTACTTAGGCAAGTCTAACCTATATCTTGCCTATTCCTGCCAGTCCTAACCCAAATTACCCCCCATCATTTTTTAACTTTCACTTAGTTAAATCTCCAACTATCTTCATCTAGCCATTACCGGCCAGCCATCAAACTCTGCCTAGCTCGATCCAACTACCAAATCCGCTAACCAGTTACCACCTGCACACTGCCAATTCCCAAGCAACAAAACCCTGTTAAACCGGTTTCCACTCCCATTCGCGTAACCACTCTCCGTTCTACCTAATTCCATCTAGCCAATCTCTATATCTAGATCTAGCCAACCCACACCTGATTACTACCGCTCCTCAGCCCCACTTGGCCAGTCGCCTTTAAGTTCACGATACTAACTACCACCTAACCTATCCCACAGCTCAAGGAGCCTCGGCTCTCATGCAACCAGCAACCGACTCTGTACCTTATACCCACCAACCAACTCTATACCCAGCAACTAACTCTATACCCAGCAACCAACTCTATACCCAGCAACTAACTCTATACCCAGCAACCAACTCTATACCCAGCAACCAACTCTATACCCAGCAACCAACTCTATACCCAGCAACCAACTCTATACCCAGCAACCAACCTTATACCCAGCAACCAACTCTATACCCAGCAACCAACCTTATACCCAGCAACCAACTCTATACCCAGCCCCCAACCCAGTACCCAGAACCCCCTCCCACTTACCTAACCTGAACTCTATCCAACCACCTACCTAACATACCCAACTCCCGACCCTAAAACAACTATAGCCCCTAGCCCCTCCCCCCATCTTCACCTAGCCCCCACACACCTACACTTAGCCCCCACACCTACACCTAGCCCCCACACCTACACCTAGCCCCCCCTCACCTGCTCTCTATAAGCTAACCATCACAGTTCATCCACCCGCTGACCCAAGGATCCCAAGACACCTTCAACTTTCCCCTTAACCGCACCCCTTCCACCCCTCCCGCCCCTCCCGTCCAAATGTTGCTGACTTCACCCCTTCCTCCTCCTGCGGGTTTCCCACGTCCATCGACATTTCCCTGTGAGTGAATGGCGAGACCGCTCTGAGTTTTTCTGTCTCGTTATAGTTTTACTGGCGTCGGGGTTGTTCTTTTAAGCTTAAGGACATGAGTATGCCACTCTTTAGGACGTCATGCCACTGTGCTCTGTTGGCTTAGTGGGGACCGAGGAACTTATGCTTGAAGTGCACACACGCACACACTCACTCAGGCACACACACACACACACACACACACGCACACACACACGCACACACACACACACACACACACACACACACACACACACACACACACACACACACACACACACACACACACACACACACACACACACACACACACACACACACACACACACACACACACACACACACACACACACACACACACACACACACACACACACACACACACACACAGGAAGTGATGTGGTGGAGGCTGACTCCATACACAGTTTCAAGTGTAGATATGATAGAGCCCAGTAGGCTCAGGAATCTGTACATCAGTTGAGTGACGGTTGAGAGGCGGGACCAAAGAGCCAGAGCTGAACCCTCGCAAGCACAATTAGGTGAGTACAATTAGGTAGGTGAGTACACACACACAGAGTGAGTGTGTGTGTGTGTGTGTGTGTGTGTGTGTGTGTGTGTGTGTGTGTGTGTGTGTGTGTGTGTGTGTGTGTGTGTGTGTGTGTGTGTGTGTGTGTGTGTGTGTGTGTGTGTGTGTGTGTGTGTGTGTGTGTGTGTGTGTGTGTGTGTATGTGTATGGTGTGTGTGAATAATTGATTAATTTATTGATTGATTACAGTCCCTGTTGGGACAATGGTAACACACCGGCTCAGGTTCGTATCCTGGCCGGGGAGGATTGATTAGGCGCTACTCCCTAACCGTACGCCTCTGTTCACCCAGCAGTGATTGGATACCAGGTTGTTAAACGATTGGCGGGTCGTATTCCAGTGGAACTAGTGGGTAAGGCTTACCACGAGCTGAGGGAGGGGACTGCTCTAAGTCTGCTAGTAATGTTATCAGTAGTGAGGACAAGATGGTGACGTAATCTGAGAGGACAAGATGGTGACACTATTAGGAAGGACAAGGTACTCACCTCAGTAGAGTGGATAGAATGTTGATATTAATAAGTAAGACAAGGTGTTGACATCAGGACAGGATCCTGACATCAGTTGAGAGGACAGGGAGGTATGACATTGATATCCTCAGTTCCTGTTATCTCTAGTACAGGCTACTGCAATGTTGATATCCCCAGTGCAGAATAGTGTCTTTTTCATATACCCAGTTCAGTGTAGTGTGTTGTGACATCCCCCCGGTAACAGGTACTGTAGACATCCCAGTACCAGTGGTGAGGTTTGGGCATCCCCCAGTACCTGTGGTGAGGTCTGGGCATTCCCCAGTACCGGTGGTGACGTCTGGGCATCCCCCAGTACCGGTGGTGAGGTCTGGGCATCCCCCATTACCGGTGGTGAGGTCTGGGCATCCCCCAGTACAGGTAGTGAGGTCTGGGCATCCCCCAGTACCGGTAGTGAGGTCTGGGCATCCCCCAGTACCGGTGGTGACGTCTGGGCATCCCCCAATACCGGTGGTGAGGTCTGGGCATCCCCCAGTACCGGTGGTGAGGTCTGGGCATCCCCCAGTACCGGTAGTGAGGTCTGGGCATCCCCCAGTACCGGTGGTGACGTCTGGGCATCCCCCAATACCGGTGGTGAGGTCTGGGCATCCCCCAGTACCAAATGAAAACCACATTTACCAGCAAAAAAATATTGCAAAATAACTAGCAGAGTGATAAATTAGGTGGTAAATTACTTTGTTTTTTTGGTAAACAGAATAACAATGAAAGTGGAAGAATTGGAGTGTTGGAAACTCATTATTGGAGACCTAGAACGGTCAATGATCCTTCACTTGATGGGAGAGGCTTCCAAGTAGCCGTCACTTCGTGGGGAGGCTTCCAAGTGGCCGTCACTTCGTGGGGAGGCTTCCAAGTGGCCGTCACTTCGTGGGGAGGCTTCCAAGTGGCCGTCACTTGGTGGGGAGGCTTCCAAGTGGGCGTCAGTTGGTGGGGAGGCTTCCAAGTGGCCGTCACTTGGTGGGGAGGCTTCCAAGTGGCCGTCACTTGGTGGGGAGGCTTCCAAGTGGGCGTCACTTGGTGGGGAGGCTTCCAAGTGGCCGTCACTTGGTGGGGAGGCTTCCAAGTGGCCGTCACTTGGTGGGGAAGCTTCCAAGTGGGCGTCACTTGGTGGGGAGGCTTCCAAGTTGCCGTCACTTGGTGTGGGAGGCTTCCAAGTGGCCGTCACTTGGTGGGGGAGGCTTCCAAGTGGCCGTCACTTGGTGGGGAGGCTTCCAAGTGGGCGTCACTTGGTGGGGAGGCTTCCAAGTGGCCGTCACTTGGTGGGGAGGCTTCCAAGTGGCCGTCACTTGGTCGGGAGGCTTCCAAGTGGCCGTCACTTGGTGGGGAGGCTTCCAAGTGGCCGTAACTTGGTGGGGAGGCTTCCAAGTGGCCGTCACTTGGTGGGGAGGCTTCCAAGTGGCCGTCACTTGGTGGGGAGGCTTCCAAGTGGACGTCACTTGGTGGGGAGGCTTCCAAGTGGCCGTCACTTGGTCGGGAGGCTTCCAAGTGGGCGTCACTTGGTGGGGGAGGCTTCCAAGTGGGCGTCACTTGGTGGGGGAGGCTTCCAAGTGGGCGTCACTTGGTGTGGGAGGTTTCCAAGTGGCCGTCACTTGGTGGGGGAGGTTTCCAAGTGGTCGTCACTTGGTGGGGAGGCTTCCAAGTGGACGTCACTTGGTGGGGGAGGCTTCCAAGTGAGCGTCACTTGGTGGGGAGGCTTCCAAGTGGGCGTCACTTCGTGGGGAGGCTTCCAAGTGGCCGTCACTTGGTGGGGGAGGCTTCCAAGTGGGCGTCACTTGGTGGGGAGGCTTCCAAGTGGGCGTCACTTAGTGGGGAGGCTTCCAAGTGGCCGTCACTTGGTGGGGAGGCTTCCAAGTGGGCGTCACTTGGTGGGGAGGCTTCCAAGTGGACGTCACTTGGTGGGGAGGCTTCCAAGTGGCCGTCACTTGGTCGGGAGGCTTCCAAGTGGGCGTCACTTGGTGGGGGAGGCTTCCAAGTGGGCGTCACTTGGTGGGGGAGGCTTCCAAGTGGGCGTCACTTGGTGTGGGAGGTTTCCAAGTGGCCGTCACTTGGTGGGGGAGGTTTCCAAGTGGTCGTCACTTGGTGGGGAGGCTTCCAAGTGGACGTCACTTGGTGGGGGAGGCTTCCAAGTGAGCGTCACTTGGTGGGGAGGCTTCCAAGTGGGCGTCACTTCGTGGGGAGGCTTCCAAGTGGCCGTCACTTGGTGGGGGAGGCTTCCAAGTGGGCGTCACTTGGTGGGGAGGCTTCCAAGTGGGCGTCACTTGGTGGGGAAGCTTCCAAGTGGGCGTCAATTGGTGGGGAGGCTTCCAAGTGGGCGTCACTTGGTGGGGGAGGCTTCCAAGTGGGCGTCACTTGGTGGGGAGGCTTCCAAGTGGGTGTCACCTGGTGGGGGAGGCTTCCAAGTGGCCGTCACTTGGTGGGGAAGCTTCCAAGAGGGCGTCACTTGGTGGGGAGGCTTCCAAGTGGCCGTCACTTGGTGGGGAGGCTTCCAAGTGGCTATCACTTGGTGGGGAAGCTTCCAAGTGGCCGTCACTTGGTGGGGAGGCTTCCAAGTGGCCGTCACTTGGTGGGGAGGCTTCCAAGTGGCCGTCACTTGGTGGGGGAGGCTTCCAAGTGGCCGTCACTTCGTGGGGAGGCTTCCAAGTGGCCGTCACTTGGTGGGGAGGTTTCCAAGTGGCCGTCACTTGGTGGGGAGGCTTCCAAGTGGCCGTCACTTGGTGGGGAGGTTTCCAAGTGGCCGTCACTTGGTGGGGAGGCTTCCAAGTGGCCGTCACTTAGTAAAGATACATACACATACATGCATGTATGCGTGCCAACATGTATACACTTAGCTACTGTTGTAGCAGTGACGGTATGTTTAAAAAAATCCCTGGCTAGGGTGCTGGCAAATGTGGGTTCTAGTTTTTATTGTAATAATTACCTGGAGCGCTTGAGGTGTTCCGCTCCACTGTTGTGTCGAGCCTGGAGCAGCTCCTGAGGCTACGGCTACCCTCCGCGACCCTTGATGCCCTCATATCTCAGCTGGAATAAATTGCTCCGGTACCCCTACTATACACACCCCCACAATGCCCCAATACCCCCCCACCCCACCATGCCCAAACAGACCCTCTTCCCCCCCATCCCCGGTCGCATCATGGCTCGACCTTCCCCCCCATACCCCATCTAGGGCACAACAACCCTGCCTCAGGACTCACGCTGCAAGAACCATTACTCGAATTTGCAACACACATGCAGTGCACCGCGTGGTATCCTCACACACAAATATAAGAACTTAGCACAAAAGCATCTGAATTAAGAGCGCTGAACTCTGAGCACAATGTTATGATATCTCAGGGGTACAATCTTAGATAGGGAAAGGACTACCACCTCTGGCTGGAAGAAGGGGGACCCATAGCCTCGGAGGAAACCACACATAACGCATTGGAGGGAATGTAGGTCCCCTCCAATACAGTTTCTGTGTGTTACGTATCTTAGATAGGTAACAGATAGGAGATGATCACTACATGCAAAATACTGACGAGGACAGAGATTGGTGGAAGCTGGAATCACAAATGGGTTGACGAAACGTATTGAAATACCCTGTAAGGTGGTCAACAAGTTCAAGGCATGGAAAGAAGTTGTGAAAGCCTCCTCCATCTACAGCATCAAGACCAGATATCATAAAGATCTCGGAGATCAAGGTGAAGAAACCACTCATTAGGATCTTTGGGCTAGAAGGCCTAATTAACAGGACCTGACTCCTCTTTAAACATTTGCAGGCAACCAATGTTTGAGAAGTTCGGCTTCCCGGACACACTCGCCTTGCCTGGTAACCCATCACCCTGCTTCGAATCTCATCTACAGCACCCTTTCTGGTGGCTCCTATACATCACCCTGAACGGTACCCCCCCCCCCCCCTTTACATCGTTCTGCCCGGTAACTCCTTCCCCACACACTACATCACTGGTCGGCACCACCCTCAACATCACCCTGCCCGGTCTCCTCCCCCAACATCAACCTGACAACAGCCCTTCTGAACATAACCTTGTCTGGAACCTACCCCCCCTAAAGTCACCCTGCTCGACCGTCTTGCTCTCCATCACCCTCTAAAGATACTCTCAGCGTTCCCCTCGACCTCATCATTACCAACAGGTTGCCTTGCATTGTTTAACAGGTCTTCTGCAGATTACTTTATTGATATATTATTATGTTCTTATATTTCCTCCATACTTAGCACCCTGACCCTGGGCCGACATAACGTCTTGCCTCGGACACAACCTTCAATAGCCATCCCAGTCCTGCTCCAGAACTTTCAGCATATCTTGATATTTCGTAGCACTTTCCACCCATATAATCCAGACACCGTGACACCGTGGGCTTCACCCGAGCCAATCAAGCTATCCAAATAAGTAAGTCTGACAGACCACCATCTTGTCTGGACACCACTTCCTACCCCCAGCCAACCTGTTTGACCAAATACGCAGCATATTACTGCTGTTTATTGCCTATCACGCAGACAAATATTTTGTCCGCCTCCTGGCATTGGAACGACCTCGCTGAGCTAAAAGTATGACAGTGAGATTTTACCATTTGCAGAAGTGAATTTCTCCAAGTGTAAACTACGTCAGAAAAACTATTCGTAAAACCTAGGTGACAGAAGGTAGGAAAAAATATACAAATTTAGAGGAAACAATAAAAATTATTCAAGATACGTTCATAAACTCAAGGCAGCTATATTTGCATATAGCGCCAAACATGTCAGTTGGCGTACAGTAGGTAGTGTTCCCTGGCGGCTGTAACCTTCCCACCGCCGCTATGGGTATAGGGGTACATGACAGGCAAATTACAGCTGTGTGTGACCAGTTCACCACAGATGTTTAGCTTCAAGTACAATGACCACAAGTCCCATAAAGCATTATATGACTCTGACCTCTCCCTCGGGGTAGCTACAACTCCATAATAAACTAGC